ACTACAGGTGATTTATATATACTACTACAGGTGATTTATATATACTACTACAGGTGATTTATATATACTACTACAGGTGATTTATATATACTACTACAGGTGATTTATATATACTACTACAGGTGATTTATATATACTACTACAGGTGATTTATATATACTACTACAGGTGATTTATATATACTACTACAGGTGATTTATATATACTACTACAGGTGATTTATATATACTACTACAGGTGATTTATATATACTACTACAGGTGATTTATATATACTACTACAGGTGATTTATATATACTACTACAGGTGATTTATATATACTACTACAGGTGATTTATATATACTACTACAGGTGATTTATATATACTACTACAGGTGATTTATATATACTACTACAGGTGATTTATATATACTACTACAGGTGATTTATATATACTACTACAGGTGATTTATATATACTACTACAGGTGATTTATATATACTACTACAGGTGATTTATATATACTACTACAGGTGATTTATATATACTACTACAGGTGATTTATATATACTACTACAGGTGATTTATATATACTACTACAGGTGATTTATATATACTACTACAGGTGATTTATATATACTACTACAGGTGATTTATATATACTACTACAGGTGATTTATATATACTACTACAGGTGATTTATATATACTACTACAGGTGATTTATATATACTACTACAGGTGATTTATATATACTACTACAGGTGATTTATATATACTACTACAGGTGATTTATATATACTACTACAGGTGATTTATATATACTACTACAGGTGATTTATATATACTACTACAGGTGATTTATATATACTACTACAGGTGATTTATATATACTACTACAGGTGATTTATATATACTACTACAGGTGATTTATATATACTACTACAGGTGATTTATATATACTACTACAGGTGATTTATATATACTACTACAGGTGATTTATATATACTACTACAGGTGATTTATATATACTACTACAGGTGATTTATATATACTACTACAGGTGATTTATATATACTACTACAGGTGATTTATATATACTACTACAGGTGATTTATATATACTACTACAGGTGATTTATATATACTACTACAGGTGATTTATATATACTACTACAGGTGATTTATATATACTACTACAGGTGATTTATATATACTACTACAGGTGATTTATATATACTACTACAGGTGATTTATATATACTACTACAGGTGATTTATATATACTACTACAGGTGATTTATATATACTACTACAGGTGATTTATATATACTACTACAGGTGATTTATATATACTACTACAGGTGATTTATATATACTACTACAGGTGATTTATATATACTACTACAGGTGATTTATATATACTACTACAGGTGATTTATATATACTACTACAGGTGATTTATATATACTACTACAGGTGATTTATATATACTACTACAGGTGATTTATATATACTACTACAGGTGATTTATATATACTACTACAGGTGATTTATATATACTACTACAGGTGATTTATATATACTACTACAGGTGATTTATATATACTACTACAGGTGATTTATATATACTACTACAGGTGATTTATATATACTACTACAGGTGATTTATATATACTACTACAGGTGATTTATATATACTACTACAGGTGATTTATATATACTACTACAGGTGATTTATATATACTACTACAGGTGATTTATATATACTACTACAGGTGATTTATATATACTACTACAGGTGATTTATATATACTACTACAGGTGATTTATATATACTACTACAGGTGATTTATATATACTACTACAGGTGATTTATATATACTACTACAGGTGATTTATATATACTACTACAGGTGATTTATATATACTACTACAGGTGATTTATATATACTACTACAGGTGATTTATATATACTACTACAGGTGATTTATATATACTACTACAGGTGATTTATATATACTACTACAGGTGATTTATATATACTACTACAGGTGATTTATATATACTACTACAGGTGATTTATATATACTACTACAGGTGATTTATATATACTACTACAGGTGATTTATATATACTACTACAGGTGATTTATATATACTACTACAGGTGATTTATATATACTACTACAGGTGATTTATATATACTACTACAGGTGATTTATATATACTACTACAGGTGATTTATATATACTACTACAGGTGATTTATATATACTACTACAGGTGATTTATATATACTACTACAGGTGATTTATATATACTACTACAGGTGATTTATATATACTACTACAGGTGATTTATATATACTACTACAGGTGATTTATATATACTACTACAGGTGATTTATATATACTACTACAGGTGATTTATATATACTACTACATGTGATTTATATATACTACTACAGGTGATTTCGCTAATAGGGCAATTATGAAGGCGTCAGTGTCGCGATCGTTACCCTTCTTTCCTTAGTAGTCCTTTATATCTGGAATGTTCTCAACAGTTAAACGATAGTAAGGAAAGTAGGACTTTTCATGACGACAGATGGTAACAGCATCCTAACCGTACACACATCAGTGTATATGATGCAATCCCATTGTTAATAGCGGTATCCGCACAGAGCTTGTGTAGAAGTGATCAGTACAATACCGTTTCTTGTTTGGTGTTGACCAGAACAGAGATACACACCTCAGCTAAATTGGAACATGTGTATTGCGTTTCAAACGGTCCGACAGATTGGACAAGTTGGACCAGAGTTGTTCGCTAATGAAATAGGGACGGACAAAATGATAAATGCTACAAATGATACACAGGTGTTTCCACACTGTCCCCGGTGTGAGATATCCACACTGTCCCCGGTGTGAGATATCCACACTGTCCCCGGTGTGAGATATCCTTTTCTCTTACCCTGGACGGATGTATGCACTCTGTTCCCTCTGTCAGATATCCTTGCCTTACCCTGGACGGATGTATGCACACTCTTCCCTCTGTCAGATATCCTTACCTTACCCTGGACCGATGTATGCACACTGTTCCCTCTGTCAGATATCCTTACCTTACCCTGGACCGATGTATGCACACTGTTCCCTCTGTCAGATATCCTTGCCTTATCCTGGACGGATGTATGCACACTCTTCCTTCTGTCAGATATCCTTGCCTTACCCTGGACGGATGTATGCACACTGTTCCATCTGTCAGATATCCTTGCCTTACCCTGGACGGATGTATCCACACTGTTCCCTCTGTCAGATATCCTTGCCTTATTCTGGACGGATGTATGCACACTGTTCCCTCTGTCAGATATCCTTACCTTTCCCTGGACCGATGTATGCACACTGTTCCCTCTGTCAGATATCCTTACCTTACCCTGGACGGATGTATGCACACTCTTCCCTCTGTCAGATATCATTGCCTTTCCCTGGACGGATGTATGCACACTGTTCTCTCTGTCAGATATCCTTACCTTACCCTGGACGGATGTATGCACACTCTTCCCTCTGTCAGATATCATTGCCTTTCCCTGGACGGATGTATGCACACTGTTCTCTCTGTCAGATATCCTTGCCTTACCCTGGACGGATGTATGCACACTATTCCCTCTGTCAGATATCCTTGCCTTACCCTGGACGGATGTATGCATACTGTTCCCTCTGTCAGATATCCTCACCTTACCCTGGACGGATGTATGCACACTGTTCTCTATGTCAGATATCCTTGCCTTACCCTGGACGGATGTATGCACATTCTTCCCTCTGTCAGATATCCTTGCCTTACCCTGGACGGATGTATGCACACTATTCCCTTTGTCAGATATCCTTGCCTTACCCTCGACGGATGTATGCACACTGTTCCCTCTGTCAGATATCCTTGCCTTATCCTGGACGGATGTATGCACACTCTTCCTTCTGTCAGATATCCTTGCCTTACCCTCGACGGATGGATGCACACTGTTCCCTCTGTCAGATATCCTTGCCTTTCCCTGGACGGATGTATGCACACTGTTCCCTCTGTCAAACATCATTGCCTTACCCTGGACGGATGTATGCACACTCTTCCCTCTGTCAGATATCATTGCGTTACCCTGGACGGATGTATGCACATTGTTCTCTCTGTCAGATATCCTTGCCTTACCCTGGACTGATGTATGCAGACTGTTCCCTCTGTCAGATATCCTTGCCTTATCCTGGACGGATGTATGCACACTGTTCCCTCTGTCAGATATCATTGCCTTACCCTGGACGGATGTATGCACACTCTTCCCTCTGTCAGATATCCTTGCCTTACCCTTGACGGATGTATGCACACTATTCCCTTTGTCAGATATCCTTGCCTTACCCTCGACGGATGGATGCACACTGTTCCCTCTGTCAGATATCCTTGCCTTAGCCTCGACGGATGTATGCACACTGTTCCCTCTGTCAAACATCATTGCCTTACCCTGGACGGATGTATGCACACTCTTCCCTCTGTCAGATATCATTGCCTTACCCTGGACGGATGTATGCACATTGTTCTCTCTGTCAGATATCCTTGCTTTACCCTGGACGGATGTATGCACACTGTTCCCTCTGTCAGATATCCTTGCTTTACCCAATGCGATGGGGGATTCACCTATTCATAGCAATTGAAAGTCACGTCAACGTTGCATGTGGCCTGTAACGTTTATTCTGAATTTATTCGGTATATGATACACAACTTGTGAAAAGGGCGAGAGAAAAAGAATCATTCACCCCCTTAAGGTGAGATTGGGAATTTCAACCCTGAGGGAAAGATTATTAAGTTCCCAAACACTCGGCAAAGGCTTGTGTTTGGCAGCTTAAAAATCTTCCCCCTCGGGTTGAGATTCCAAAACCATATCCCAAGGATTTGAGATATTCTATTGATATCAACGTATATCTTTTATGTTTAAAGACGTTTTATAAGGGAAACTGACCTATCTTATCTTGTCTTCATGTCTTTCAGAATCAGTATGGACACCTTGATTGACAGTCTGCTCCCCAGTGTATGGCAGGAAGTGAGCATGGACGACAGGGGTGATGGTACGTATCCTATACGATCAAGCTGCTTATCACGATAGTGTTTCTATAGGGGAGGCCGTCCTTAAATGACCATGGCTGTTGTTAGGACGTTAAACAAACCAAACCAAACCAAACCAATCTATAGTGATCTCAAACGAGAGTGTGACCTGTTCCACCAATAGATCTGAAAGTTTGCCCCCTAATTAACGTGGTTACAGAACGTATGGTATACATGATTGCATGTAAACCAGCGGTCGTGAGAGCGACACATATTGTGGAAACAACCAGCTCTCTTGGATAACAAAACATCTATTTATCCTTAATTTCGTTGTTTGTTAATGAAATTTGTTTATCTTCCATTTTTTCTCTCAATTTAATCCATGTAAATCAGAAACCGTCATATTTATAAAAAAAAAGATAAGTAACTGAGAGAAATGACTGTTCAGAAGTAATCTGAAAATAAAGACTTGCTTGCTTTGTTCATAAGTCATAATTTTCAAGTCGCCATCTTTACATTTTAGTCCACCGTGTGACTCCTTTTCTCTAAGTGGTTTACAAACGATTACATTTATAGCTGTGAGGGGTCAAACATCCAGTTTGTGATTACTTCGCATTGATTGTGTTTAAATTTAATTTATCAGGATTCGAGGATTTCTTTGTCAACGGCAATCCAAATAGGAAGGACGAGAACACACTCGAAATCGTTATCTCTGACGCGGAAGGAAATGCCAAAACTGTTACCCTGAAAGGTGCCCAACCCAACAAGAACCCTTTAAACAAAATCAGCAGATGCGAATTAAAGGTTGATGGAGACAAAAACTTGATCGGAATGGATTTAAACGGAGATGTTGTTGTTTTGAAGAGCTAAGGTTGACCATTAATTGAAACAGACATGGTGTATATATATAATGGAACATTCATATATCTTTTAAATCACCTCTATGCACTTAACATGACCTTGTCTTAAGCTTTTAACTTATACCATATACTGTACTCAGTGGTCTGTCTGTCGTTAAATCGTCCATACCAAAACCGTAACCGGAAGTTATTAATATTTATTACAGCTGTGTTTGATTGCCATTTAATTAGATCACCTACGCGTTAAATGTCTTGGATGTGATGGTCTATACTGTCTATTTACTAACTGCCGTACATGAGATGGCATTGTGAGAAGAGAATTCATCATCAGGCCGATATAAGCGAAATTAGAGCTAGTGGATTGGATATGTTGTACGTTTGAAATACGCCGATTGTGAAATGAAAACTAAAAAAGGAGATAAGAATGTAACTACCTTTATTACAATGAGTATTATAGCCCGGATGCTAATGATATATATGACACAAATTTATTTCAAGTCTTCTGTTAAGGTATTTCAAGAAAGAAATGATTTCAAGAGAACAAGCTATACAGAATAATTTAATAAATACGGCAACCCTTCCATTTTCGATCGGGTTCTGAACTGCGGGGTATACGTTGGAATACAAAAGGAAGGACACAAATATGTCTTTTATGATCGTTCAATTTGCTGATGACTGCTGATTAAAAAATTCTTGCCAATGTCTTTCTGATCTTTTCGTCATTCATGAAAGAAATTACTACTCCGTAGTTCGATAAGATTTGGAAAACAACATTTTTGTGTTATTTACTGGCAGAAGATTTCTCGAGATTCCGGTTTCTACGAGATCTGTCCTCTACTATCAGGCCGATATGTTAAAACAGATTCTACACGGGCTACTGAAGAAAGGGACTGATATAATTACAAAGTCTTGTTTTTGTTGTTGTCTTTACGGGTTGATTTCGGTTTCGTTTTTCTCTCGGGAGTTGACGTTGTTGTGATCGTTTTGCAAGAATCTCGTACAAATGATAAGCTGTCGCGATTGTGCTGTGGTGGAGTATATTAACGAGCAGTGAATTAGTATAGAGTACGTGACGAAGGCTGGATAGCTCAATTATCGATCATTAGCTACACGTTTGAATCAAAGTGATAACTTCCACCACTTTAAATAGAGGAAAGGCGATTATTTTCATTCTACGGAGTCGAAAAAAACAACAACTTCAAAGCACTTCGTGTTTGCTTTATAAGTTTATTGAAATCAGATTTTAATTCTCTTCTGTCACACAAACGCGGTGTGCTTGTTTAGATTCTGAACACACGCACTGACTTGCCGATGGAAACAAAACAATCAGGTTAATAGTCGCATGCTGTAACTAAATACTGTCATTAAACGTGACTATGATAATTTAAGCTTTTGAGCAATAAAAAGATATTGTCCTCCTACCTAACGACCATCCGGACAGCTATGTTAGTGTGTATATTTACCTACTGGGGACCCGTTAATGGTGAGTAATTATAGAACGTATGTGTAATTATCATAGACATTCATCGATGAAACGGTTGCTATAGTATGGACGTGGTCCACTATAGTATATGACCTGAATGGACATGAACAGGAATACGGATACACCCTTTATAATATACAACATTTATATAGCGACCTATATAATTTGTAAAATTACTCTAAAGCGCTTTACAACATATGGATAATAATAATGGTTATAATTGTGAAAACAAAAAACAAAGGCTTACAATCTCTTTTACACATTTTAGCAACGCAATGTGCACATAATCGAACAAATAAAAGGCCGGTATTTACATGACGTCTTTGCAAGGATTCTAAAATGCAGTCGTAAAGAGGTGAGTTCTGATGTCCCTCTTGAACTTGGCCAGGGTATTTGACTTTCTAATAGCAGATGGTAAGCTATTCCACAACGTAGCCGAAACCCTCCCAAAGCATATGTTTCCATAGGTCACAGTACGAGATTTTATCTTGAAATGGTAATGGTAATTGTTAAAGTCTACATGAATATGTGTCAGTTTTACTTCATAATGGAAACCTGCAAAAGTGCTTCAGTTAAAAGACGAGAATTATTGTACAACAAATGTAACTTCCTAGTTTATACTTGTGTTATGTACACTCGTCTTTAGTCATTCGTCACTCTGTATCGAGTGTCCCCTTTATCAATCAACGACGCTTTAACATGTTTATGTATTAAAACTAAATGATTATGAGAGTGGAACTTAAATGAAAATTTTGCATTGTATTGTAGTACAATGTAAGATAATTTGTATTTAACGGTCCCGATGGGGGATAACTTCGTGCGTATATGATATGAAACCTACAAAAGGTTTAAATACTGCTTAAGAATGTCATATACCTCAGGGTACTTGGAGTTATTTCCCTTAGTCCTATAGATTCGCGGATCCTTATGCTAAATTGCTGCCTGTGTTAAGAAACTACTTCAAACTCCCTATTTTTTTTTATGATAACAAAATTGAATTCAATAGGGAGTTTCAGATAAATAAAAGGCATTTTTTCCTCTGAAGAATAAGAATTCTAGAACTAGTAACATTTCATTGATTCTCCAGAAATTATAAAAATAGCAAACTCCTCTCCTTGAGCCTTATTTATCTACACTTTACATTGTGACGATAATGTCATACCAAATTACTATATTATAACCGTCATAAGTCCTACTTTACTATCGTAACCTTTCCTTTTCAATAGTGACAAACCAGCCATCATTGTTGAGGGATTTACCTTTAGATTAGCGTTACCAGTCAGTCGGTTCTAAATGTGAATAGAAGCGATAATAACAACAAACTCGGTAGTCATGGCTTCCTTCTTGAGAGTTTATGATCTCAGTTGAACTGAGCTTAAAGTAGTAATCATGGTCTAATTTCCATAGCAAGTATTCAGTTTTAAGTTGAGGCACGGTCATAATGTACACACTATATTTTTATTTTATTTTTTATTTTACCAGTTATCCTCAAAATCTAGAAATTCATATATGCTGCTCCCCTTCTCTTTGTACAGTAGTGGAGACGACTTGGATTTCCGCCACTTTGGCTCCTAGCTTTTCATTTCATTTTAATCTATTTCATTTCAGTAAATTTTATTGAAAAAAATCAAAAGGGTTGGACAACAGGCTATGCCTATATTAGTCCTCTCCTAGCCAGGATTACAAACACACATAAACTATAGAAAGAAGGAGAGAGAAATGTTACATAAGTAGTTACAGAAATAGTAATGCAAGGGGAGTAACTCCCACAGAAATTATAAATAAATATATAAATAAGCCTCTTTTATTGAGACAAAGGATCCCCCAGTGTTAGACAGCAATATATCCACAACTAGGGATTCTGACCATACAAAGTCCTTAGCCATACAGTGGCTGAGGTCATTCACCCCAGCAGATCTTGGATCCTTGACATGCAAAACTGGGAAATTTTTGGTAATACATTTTTTTTATCATCATCATCCAACCACCTACATTCATCAATTTATTTTCATTTATCAGTTTATAAAGAAAGAATACTTTTTTTTACAGAAAACAGATCACAGATGATCGTTATAGGGATGGATATATACCTAGAAATAAGACAAAGAGAGACAATGTCGTGCTAATTATAACGGGAATACACCGGTGTGTACAGTCTGCACCAGAACGATGTACACAAAACAGGCCGATCAGACCTGTTGTGGTGTGCTCGAAAGGTTTTGCCACATTTTATGATCATTATCCATGGGAGCATTGTAGAACGAACCTCATTTAAGGCGGCAGATAAAAATTGAGGCCCATTTTAAAAAGCACAGGAGAATATTGATGTACAGCGCAGCAGAATTGCAAACTTAATTATCAAAACTCAATAACAATTAAACGGAGAGTTTTGATTTTACAGCACACCAGATTCCATACTAAACTCTATCCAAACTGAAAAAAACCTTCAAACGAACGGATGTCTTAAGATATACCAACGTTTGCTTTAAAACGGAATGAAAGAAATCGCAGATATATTCCAGAAAGCCGAAAAGAAATCTGACTGAAGATAGTCCATTTCTTTTTGTGACCTGACATGCGATCAGGAATACAGTCCCACAGTATTTTGCTTTCTTACCCAGCGGATTGCTCTCGAACTCGTCTCTTCTTCAAATTACGCAAGATGAAATTGACGAAATGGTGAGATAATGAAAGTATGAATTCACTCTACTTCCATGATATCAGTGGCTATCTGTACGAACTCAATGTGTTCCAACAGCACTAGATTCGTAAGGATATCAATTCATCAAAGATAATTCATTTTGGTCGAACAAAAAGAAGTGGTCAGAACATCTTTAATCTTGGTCATGATACTATAAAGATACATAAAACTACTAAAGGCAGGTGAGCAAGGATCTGGACGCTGCAGCAAACTAACAGTGTTAGTCTACCTAATACTATACACAAAGACATACGTGTCAGGGATAGAAGGTGTCTGTATGAACTGGTGATGTAACACTATTTGGGCAAAACATACCTGATATTTTTGCCAGGAAAATTAATTCCTATTTTTAACTGAGGACTATAGGTTTCGGTCATGTATGATTATTATTACTTTTAAGGGCTCATCAACTCCGAAGAGATCACCAGTGTCAAAAAAGTTTATATAAAGATGTTAAAGAGAATAGCACCAAACACACGAAGTCTGTTTGAATATCAGAAGTGGATACTGCTAGTTATATCTATCGTAACAGACAAGTAGTATTCCAGCAATCTTAAATTACTGACGAAAACAACACGACACTTATTTTATGTCATAGAAATTATCTTTTGTTGACTGGAGGTTATTACATCTCGTAAGAAGTGTTTAACTATAAGAGGTGAGTGACATACTATGCATTAGACTGGTCGGTAATCGTTATGGTAAGGTCGTGTATGGCGAATTGGACAATGGTTTCCATAGTTATAAAGGTTTTACGTAAGAAACTGTCCAAGATGGGCTGTGATATATACTGTTACGCTGTGCTGTAATATGTACTGTTACGATGTGCTGTAATATGCACTGTTACGCTGTGCTGTAATTTGAACTGTTACGATTTGCTGTAATATGTACTGTTACGATGTGCTGTAATTGGTACGGTTACGATGTGCTGTAATATGAACTGTTACGATGTGCTGTAATATGAACTGTTACGATGTGCTGTAATATGTACTGTTACGATGTGCTGTAATTGGAACTGTTACGATGTGCTGTAATATGTACTGTTACGATTTGATGCAATATTTACTGTTACAATTTACTGTAAAATGTACTGTTACGATTTGCTGTAATATGTACTGTTGCGATGTGCTGTAATTTGTACTGTTACGATGTGCTGTAATTGGAACTGTTACGATGTGCTGTAATATGTACTGTTACGATTTGATGCAATATGTACTGTTACTATTTACTGTAAAATGTACTGTTACGATTTGCTGTAATATGTACTGCTGTAATATGAACTGTTACGATGTGCTGTAATATGAACTGTTACGATGTTCTGTAATATGTACTGTTACGATGTGCTGTATTTGGTACTGTTACGATGTGCTGTAATATGTACTGTTACGATTTGATGCAATATGTACATATTACAGCACATCGTAACAGTACATTTTACAGCACATCGTAACAGGACCAATTACAGCACATCGTAACAGCACCTATTACAGCACATCGTAACAGTACATATTACATCACAT